TAAATTTTTTTTAAGGTAATACTTGGTGTAAGAATTTTCTTGCAACCTAAAGAGTGTTAAATGGCTGTTTAGTATGGAGTAGAATCGTTACACTGTAATGTAAACGCTAAAAAAACGGCTTGGGGTCTACCATCTGAAAAATACTAACTGCAACAACTTATTTTTGTCAGGATGAAATCAAGGTTTTTAAAAATTTCGGCCTCTGCTGCTCGACAAACCACTATCATCCAACTAGTCCAGTGATTTTAGTGTTAATCATGCAACTCATCCCAATGTTTTAATTTGTTTGTTTCAAAATTATGACAATTCACTAAGCCTAATTTTTAAATGAAAAAGTCATTTTCTTTACTTTCTTTTCTTTTCTTTATCAAACAAATCTCTTAAGTGTTATATTACAATCATTATTGTTGTCTTGGATAAGTTCCCGTGTTTAGCCTGGTTTGTTTTTAAGACACAATACTTTGTCATTGTATTATTTTGCTGATTAACACCACTTCTAGTACCCAGCGTTTGCTATCCAAACGAATCAGCGAACACTTACCTTCATGGTTTTATAAAGGAGAAAGAAGATCCCCCCGCCACAGCTCTATCCTAGAACACTTGATCGAATCCGGACACCAAGCAAACCCAAAAAACAACTTCTCAGTTATCTACACAATACGTACGAATCTTGCCAAAAGAGTACGAATTAAGCTTCTTCAAACTGCAGAAGCAATGGCAATTCACATATTGAATCCTGAACTCTGCATACAAAAGAAATTTGTTCAGTCACTAAATCTGCAATGGTCCTGATCTATCTTAACACCAAATACGTAATTTTGTCTTACCTCTTTCTTCTTTGTTTGTCTGTTTCTTAATTGCATTATTTTCTACCCCCACCCTCTATTAAATCTCTACCCTCGTGACGACTGTTGCTAACTCCATTTTCGTTTATTTTTAAGTGAATTCTACTCAGCTTATTAACTTGACTCTAATTCATTTCCGAGTGAATTCTACTCAGATCATTAACTTGACTCTCATTCATTTTTCATTGAACCCTAGCAATTAGATTACGTCACCCAACCTACTTTTGTAACTTTATTTTAGTTTCTAACCGATTAACGCCTTCTAAATTACGTAATTTGTTTTCAAAAATTAACAATTGCATTAACACATCTTTGGAAATATTCCTTTTGTTGCCAACATAAATTACTATAAATTTGCGGTTTGTACAGCTTGAGAATGATATCGCCGAAAACAGTAACTCTTTGCTGAACGCCTTTTCTTTTCTAGTTTATATAATTCTGAGGAACGAATTCAGCCGGTAAATAATCGTATTTATTAAGTAGGGACTAATTCAGTGTGTCAATTTTCTTCATCAACGAAATTACTTCCAAAGGCTCTATAAGCGTTATATATATATATATATATATATATATATATATAGCCCATTATTGAGTAGTAGGGGAGTAAATATGAATACGACTGTACAGCCTTTAAAGATGATTTCGTAGATAAAGAAAATTAACAGAAAGAATCAGTCCCTACTTGGTATCGTGCATAATGAAACTACCTCGATAAGAGACTTACAATAGTGTTTTGTACGTAAATCTATTTTATTATCATGTGACATTTATATCTGAAATAAGACTTATTCAATTACTTATTTATTCTGAGTAAAAAATATTTGGAGTTGAACCAGGACTCTAAACTGTTCTTCTCTTTAATAATTTTGTATCCCTGATAAGTTTGAATTGCTATAACTTTCATTTGAACTGTTTTGATATTCGTAATTGTTACGAAGCTTTCCATTAAGTACTCAAGTAATTTGTCTGTATTGTTATACGAAGGTTGAATTTATGAGAAACACTTAGTACATAAGTAAATCATTCATTAGTCCTTTAGTGTTAGAACATTACTTAGTGGATTTTTGAAGAATGACTTTTGACAGTATTCAATTAAGGTCTTAGTGACTACTGTTTCTGAAGGTATCAGGAAAAGTATGTGTGATGCAAACTGTTAGAGTAAATGTAACAAGGAAGGAGAAAGGCAGCAAAACGTTTTTTTAAAAACACAGTAACTATCATTATAATTACTGTGTTTATGTACTCAATATTCTTCTTTTGAGTGATATCCAACTTTTACATCGAACATTTGAAATCAGTAGTTTCTCTGATATAGTTAAATCAGAAAAAATTCAAGTTATGTAACAGTTGTTTGAACTTGATCATTATACACGCCCATCTTGAAAAATAAGTCATACGACTCAGTAGACAGAGAATTTTAAAAAATTTCATACCACCTAGTTGTTTTCAAATTCAATTCCTAGACATAACTTCCTGATAGATCATTAAGTGTCACATGGTAATCACTGTTCTGAAAGGCGAAATAGCACAAAGTGGGTTGAGGCTTTCAGTCAAATTAACATTGGATTTAGATACATTTTGTCATAAGCACTTGCAGAACATAAAATTTAAAGTGTAAATGAATGTACTAACTTATGTGACTTAAATCCTACTGGTTCAATGCATTGCGCTGAATCATATGCATTACATTAGCGTAGACGACGCAATTTCTCCACTTATTATATTTCTCTAAGTGTATTATAGTCTGAACGATCAACAAGCAGTTTAGGGCAATAACACTTTTCACAAAGATGAGCCCGAAAAATTTACTACGAGTTATTATCTAACCAAGTAATTCCCCACATTCGTAAATTGGGAATGAATAAAGAAAGCAAATAAGATACGTCGATGGCATAACAGTATGCTGGTTGGGGGTAAATGATGCATCCTCTGCAGAAATCGTTGTGTGGAACTTACATCTGTTCATTGATTATTATTCCTTCAGGTTCCGAGTGGTACATAGGGCTGCAAGAGCACATCTCCATTACATTTTATTCACCTTTGGCTGGTTCCTAAACAAGAAGCGACTATTAACTCTTATGAATAGTATTTATCCTACGAGACAAACAACAGTTCCTAAAACCTCTTTGATTTACAACGAAACCTACAGCAAAAATCTGTAAGTTTAGTAAAGTCTAGTACCATGCATTCAAATATGTGTGTTAGCCCTACAAAGTCTTAAAAGATTGCAGTAGCAAGATAATGCCCGTAAACGAAGCTGACCAATCGAAGGGACCAATAGGAATCTGTAAGCTAAAAAATGAATGACAACTTATCCACCATTTTTTTAGTTGTTTTGAATGGATTTGTAAACAATAAAAGGTAGTGTTGGAAATCCTAGATGAATCGTAAACTCATTCATTGTCTGATTAAACTGTAAAGTAATCTGCCGGTGGTACTGAAAGTTATTGTCATTCCGTAATGGCAAGAGATTAACCAGAATACCGATAGAAGAAAATGAACTGATCAGCGAAAATATTTTCTTGCAAGTACAGTCTAATATTTAACTAAATATTCGTCACATGTAAACAGAGATTTCTGATAACTTATTACAGGATATGTTTTGCATACTCTCAGGAGGATTGTTGTGTTTTATGTGATTGCTGTACGATAATCAGCTCTGTATGAGAAGTGATGACAATCATCAACTCTGACCGGTGAGGAAAATGTCATTAGGTGCCGTAGGTATACACTTATCCTTCGACAAAGAACAGCTTTCCAACATTACCTATATATACACTGGCATTCAATAATTCTCTTAAACATGAAGATCCTAATATAAGGGATAGCGACGCAGAACTGTCACATTATGTCTGGATTTAGGTAACAGTAGTTATTTTCTTATTCTGTATAAATGTGGGCTTTCCATCCAAAGATAACATACAAAAACACTCTAAGATTGGCATTTAACCTCCTAACCAACGGTAACTTGAGCATCTCCAGTTCCTTTTTGAATCATAACTGGAATAAACGTGCTATTTAAACTCTCATGATAACCGACCATGTCAAGTTATTTGGTAGACACTTGACAGTTGAACATAATACATACGCTTCAGAAAGCCTAGTCGATTACGGTACATGAATCACCGACTGTCCCCAGATTGTTATAAAAACTGAGGTAAAATAATAGCCACTAAACCAAATATTTTAATAACTCCTTAGTTATGAGATTAATACATTTGTGTTTACTGTTGCTTCTTTTACGGTTCACGACTATCTTACACATCTTAATGAATTTTCAAAGCCATACTTAATCTACTATTTTTGTCTAATTAGTTTACACGTTTATGCTTGGTGTATGTAAAGGGGTTGTGCCACATCATACGAGTTCATGGAACATTTACAGATGTGGAAAATAGCGACTTTTGTAAGGCTCAAAGAGAATAATAAATGTGCACTTAACGTAGTTTGAAAATGCGCGTTTCTATAAACATAAATGACCTGTGCATAGACAAGCAGGAATAAGCGAGATAATAAGAGTTGACGAATGGAGACTAGATGACATCTATCACAGGTGAAAATACATTCATATCGTACCCTTATTCAAACTTTGATCCACTTTTTAAAGCTAATATGTTGAACAGCAGTGAACCTGATAAACGATCCCCAGAGCAATCTTTAAAAACCTTTCGCAGACAGATATTTCTTGTAAAGTATTGTTATTGGAACAAACAACTCGTCAAAACTGAAATGAACCTATGATACGATAGAGGACTCTGTGTTCCTTATTACATCCATTAAATCACGTTATTTCTAATAGCGTAAAGTGTTACTAACAGACCCCGAAAGCAAGCAGGTCTTAAACATAAAACGCAACAAAAGACAAAAACCCATATTATAGTGTCCATGTATATGATTAATAGCACACAATCAAGCTGATATAACTGAGTTCCGAATTTGTGTAACATAACATTTCCAAGTGTACTCTACAAAGTGTTAGTCATCCAACCTACCATACATACATAAATAGTGCACTTCAACTCTAAGGCTTACATATGAAATTCGAATTCAATAAGAAGTTATCAAGAACAGGGATATAACAACCATGAAGTATTACCTGCATATTTGTATATGCACACCACTGCCTATTTATAAGTCGATACACCAAAAATTTATCAGTAATCTAAACTAGCTAAGTTGTAACACTATTATAGTTGCTTAATGCACCATGAGCCTCAAAAAGGCACCCGGTTAACAACAAAGAGATAATGACACAAACTGACTAAATAATGACAAATGAAACACAAAATAAGTTCAATTAAGCTTTCAAATTAGGTATATTTAGAAACAAGGTTAACTTATTTACACAGGAATAAACACTTGGTAAAATAAAATGAAAGTTTCTTTTAAAGATTTAATCAAATGACTAAAATAATAGATGTGTCAAAAACCGAAGGGGATCAAACTACAACACACCGCAAAGATAGTATTTACAACCGAATAGTTACAGAAATCCGACTGAAGGAAATAAGTACTACAAATTCATCCTAAGGAAGTGGTATATATTATCATTGCTCTGCAAGAATGTTCAAATGCTAGCGTATTTTGAAAGACAACTGAATGAGTGTGATTCATAGAAAAAATGCATTCCCCGTACGTACCAATAATATCATTCAAGTACTTGAATTAAATGCGGTATGACTGAAACAAGCTAAAGCATCCAGCTGTTTATCATCAACGAGAGAAAACCGTTTACTGAAGGCAAAAAAATGTCTAGCTAATGTATTCATATGGGGGATTAACTCAAGTTGGTCTAAATGACTGAAGTGTGCAACGTACATATGGACAATACAAACAAGAATATTTTTACAAATGACGGATACGTACTGAGGCAAATCAGATGGAAACTGCTCTCCATTCCTTATAGGAAATATACGAGGACACTGAATAAGATCATGACACGAAGAGAGAACACCATCTATTGCCTGACGCGCCGAAATTCTACTATACTGCGCAATAGAGCCCACGATGAGACCCTTGCTTTTCTTACTTCGGTCATCTTCCCCTTGTACACCTAGTGGGCTTGTTGAAATTTCAAGCAAAAGAGAAGACACAATATTTTGAATTCCTGAATCCTTCAAGGATTCCCATAAGCTTGTGCAAACACACAGCTCGTAAACAGCATCAAATATTGTGCTAAGATTATCGAATAGAGCAATAGTATGTGCTGCTAGCCATTCGTTGGTATCCATTGCTGGGAACGGCTCGACAACATCACAAAACTCCGGGTAAGATGAGTCCATAGACATTGGTAATTGTTGTGAAACGTAAAAGTTTTTCATATACATCGGTGTTTTCGAATCCATATTGCTTTCTTTTTTCGTATTTAATCCTGGAGAATGCGGAGACTTATCAGTTAACTGAGATGGAACATTTATCGAAAGTGGAGACGATGCACGTGAACGTATCGTTAAGCTATTGCGTGACTCACTGAAAGTGTAATCCTTAATAGGAATAGGAGAACGTCTGTTGTCATTTTCAGTAGTTGGACTGATAGTATTTACAGGTGAAGTATCATTTGGAGAAGCACATGCGCTATTATGAACGATTGAAATTGGCTCTGTCACCGCTGAAGACACGACATTTGAAGGGGAATGCATAAAGCCACGACTTACTCCCCTTGCTTTACCCATTAACCAATCCATTTGCCTACCGTTAAAGGACGCGGCACAAGAGCAAGTACATAAAATGAAAGTAAGGTCAAAATGTACTATAGAAAAACAATTCTAGTTCTTTATTGAGAAACTGTTTAAAAAACGTATAAAAATTATCAATAAAAGATTTATTGGTGAATTCAGACTATAGACATCCAACATGGTCAAATGCACTAATGTTACATACTAAGAGTGAGCTAGTTAAACCACACAAATAACACTTTTGATTTGTTTGTGTTCTGTGAGCTGGATGATCTGATTGCGAAGCTTCTGTTGACCTTCTAGACAGTATCTTGACTGATAGTCTAAGTCTGAAGTGAAATTACTTCAATTATGTGTAAACGACATAACCGTATCCCCTCACAATCTAAGTTGGGGCAACTAAAAAATCCCCTTGAGCCATATAAAAGGAAATACTTTCATCTAAGAGTTACTCTTTTCAATGATACCGTTCTCCAGCTGCACAACTACACAAATTTATAAGTTTCGTTGTGGCTGCCTGTTCATCTGCCTTTTTACTACTTTTCGTGAAATTTTTTAATGTAATTTATTCCTTTTTAGTTCACACAATATATCGTTCATGGAGTTTCAAGTAAGTCCATCTCATATTAAAATTTGAATAAGGATATAGTCTAGATGGACAGTGGTAGCTTCGCGATTAAATCACTGAGGTGAAGTTAAATGGTACTAAACAGGATGTGTGGAAAGTTTATGGATCGGTTATGGAGAGATCTGGGTCAGCTTAAAGATGGGGGCTGACCAGGCTAGGTGAGGGTAAGGGATGCGTGAGGAAGCCACCTGCGTCCTCTAGCTCAGCTGCTTGTTCCAAGGCCATTGATGCGATCGTGTCTCTTAGTCGAATTAGCCTTTACTGTGCAGAATTTGTGTCTGCTGGTTCACTCCCTAAGACCTCGCAGTTTAAGTCTTGACTGCTCTGTAATCGCTATCGCAAGGTTATAGGTTCGATCATTTTTGGGTTTGTTTGCCCATACTTTATAAACCTCGATCTTTTTTGTTTTTATTGATTCCAAATTTCATATGGATAGGTGCAGCATGCGTTAAAAAAGATGAAGTCAAGTTTCACAGTCAAAACCAGTGTCTTATTTCAACTTTCAGTAAATTTAGTGTTAGGCAACCACCACTTGATCGCTGCCCTTACTTCAAGGGACAAGAAACTAAGACGATGGTTTACAATGACATTTAAGTAGTATGCTGACGGGCAAGGATCACGTAATGGTAATATATTACTCAAATACCCTCTCCAAACCACAAGAAAGCCTACATCTTGTGGACTCGAGAAAAGATAAGAGAAACCATAAGAAACCTATCAAAATCGCTACAAAAGTTATTCACCGACGGTAAGTATTACTACAGAAATTAACTACATGTTCTGAAGTTTTATTTTTGAAAGCATAGCGGTGTGTAAGTGGAATGGGGAAACCTATTCAAACGCACAAGTGTGCATTCATCATCCATCAGTCGAAGGATGCCCCGAAAATTGCAAAGAAGATATTGTATTTACCTGGTTATTCGTCTCATAATTCTGAATTCCTTGATCAATAACCATTCCTATGTAACCATAGCATAAATCATTTTGGGGACTCTGCATGAGTGTTAGTTGTTCCGAAATGCGAAATATACTTTGAAACTTGTGTTGTTGGCTTATTCGGCGTGTTGGTTGGAATTTCGCTCGGCAAATTTTGCGTGTGAATGATTTTTAATAAAATTGTGTCATAAATTTTCCGAGTTCTTGAACTTCTAAACAGCATTATATCATTAACAGCCGAAAAAGGCAAGGACACTGCAGCCAAGCATGAGAGCGATGAAATGAACTTGAATCAAGGCAAAAGCTTTCGAAACAAGGAAAGCAAAACTGATGCAAAACCCAACACAGATAAGCTGCATGACGGCAAGTTGAGAATATCTACAAGATTAACATAAAAACCAATATGTGAACGAACGGTTAGTAAATGTACTTGAGGTATCTTAACCATCCAAAGACCCTAAGCCTGCGGGATAGTTTCAGTCACACTGTCAAGCCGGGAGGTGTGCGCGCAAGGTTCTGGTCGGACGTTTCAATCGTTTCCCATAACAATGATATATTCACGCCGGTATCTGTAATATTGTGGTGAATGTTATACCACTTAACAACTATAAAGTATAATTTTTTATGGCAGCTTGATTCCACACCGTATTTTTTGGTACGGGTATGGAATTTTCAGCATGTGATATCGGTAGCCCAAATTTTGCAGGCCGACCATAGATATCAGGTGTACGTCGGCAGGGGATCGAACACCGGACCATGTGCATGTTCGGCGAGAGTCCTAACCACTGCGTTAGAACTCCATATTACATAAGTTCATTTTATATTTCACAGTGATGCAGTATTAACAGCTGGATGACGTTCCCAGCATAAATGACTGCTCATAATCATATTAGTTTATCCAAGGCTTCAAAATTTGCCTTATATCTATTTCTCTCTTCCTCTTCCCCTTTCTGTTTGTTATCACTTTTCATACCTGCAGTATAGGTGTTACTTCACTTTGATTGCACAAGCGCGGTGTTGAGTTGATGAACAAAGCTTCAGTGATTAACCTCTCTCTCCATCTAACTATGCTACTTTTTAATATTCTCCCCTTGTCCCACCCTAGTTTGTAATTCCATACAAGTGAATGCAATGCAATAACTGAGTTTTTCCCAGGCTATTTAATTTAGCAGGGTCAGTCATTCTAGGTTTAACTTAATCTTAATGTTCCAATAATTTAGGTGACCCCCACCTACTAGTTTCATCCATTTCCTTGACCTCACAGCCATTACGTGGTATTCGGTATAGTATATTATTTTTCTTAATTGGATCCATGGGTCCTTAAGCCTACAAAACCCACCTCTGAGAGAGTTGGTTGGTTTACATGACATGCTAATTCCAGTTTCATTGAGAATCCCATGTAAGGCCTCTGATGTCCTTTCTGTATATGGCAGTGCCGAAGACATTGGACTCTAAATTACTTTTATTATTTTTGTTGCAAGTTCTATTTCTTTCATGGTTCTCTATATATTTTTGAATAAATTCTGGTAGCCAATAATTCACGGGAAATATTTCTTTCATTTGTTTGACCTCATTATTTAAATCTTTTGGCATACTAGTCATGCTCTTGGCCAGATAATATTGAAATTTAACTAAGCCAATCTTTATCAATTCTTCATGGGATGAATTGAAGTCCAAGCATGTAATAGAGTGTGCTGGTTACCTATAAATGTTAGCATCTAAACCGTCTTATTTTCGTTTTAATCTACAGTCCACAATGACCAACTCACCCTGTTCGTTTAGTCACTCAGAATTGAATTGATTCCTTTTACTACTGAGTTTATATGTGTGAAAAAGGATATATATTCAGATATCAACACAGTGAATGTGCCTTCCACATATCTCCACCATTAGAGTGTTTAATCCTGCCCCTAGCAGGACAGCAACCAGTGCAATGAGTGTAAAAACTATTTAATGATGCAATCTATATAAGGACATCATATATCCAGTTTCCCTCATAATTCGAAAGTCCTTTAAATACAATACTTTTAAAGCTGCCTACGAAATAAATCTAGTGCCTGCTCCTATATAAACTTTATGAGTGAAGTGGCAAACACTACACATTTGTTGCCACTTCAACTTCTAAATGCGGAGATATGTCGCCGCTTAACTTACATTTGAACCCTATCCTTATCCTTCTTTCACAAATAAAAACCAATCCACGTCAAAGGAAAACTATAGAGAAGCCCATTATTTCGTAGTTTGAAATTATCAAAGTTAACTCGCAGAACAGTTAGATTTTTGAATTCTATATTTCGCAGTTTAATACCTTTATTACCAGTACAACTCCATTCCCTCTCTATAGTAGTTCTGAGTCTCTATATCTACTCGGCATATTATTTGCCTACATACCATGTTTAGGTTTCTCCTAGCTTTCACTTGAGATAATTTAATCTGTATTCCACCTCGGCCCAACGAACTAAACCAACACTTCCAACACGTAAGCATGGCCTAGGTCTATTGGCCGAAAGGATACGCCTTTCACGTTCCACGGAGCCCCAATGAAGTCTGGCAGTGTCATTGTTCTCAACTTGCTTTCAGAGATATATATGATTGTTAACCAAAACAAACTAGACTTTAATAATAATGGTTTGTATTTCGTATAAACGGCTAAGTTTACATTGAATGCATTCCATTTTAAGAGCACGGTACGGTATAAATTACAATCGTTGAGTGTTAGAAATTAGAACGTTTTGAAGAGTCTAAATGGTTATTTCTAGTACAAACATTCGAAACTTGTTCGTATAGATGGTGAATTGTGAACCTTTCACTAAGGTCATCATCAAGGTTGAGCGCCAAACCAAGCTTCGTTCTGCTTCCTGCTGATCCTAATGGTTAACCAGTGAATAGCCAATTGTTTGGCAAGTGCCATGCCCCCACGTGATTGGAAGTTTTTTCATGAAGGGAGAACGTCCTGAAGGACTGCGAAATGAAATAAAATGCAGTTATGGATAACCCATCATTGGAAGTAAATTTACAAGATATATGCGACAAGGAGCTATAGGGTCCTTGGAATGGTAAAATACATTTGGAATTTTTAGTGCTAACCCTATTGGTCTAAGCATGAAAACTATGACTTTTTTGATGAAAATATAGCTCTCTTCAAACATGGGTGTGGCCTTTTTGTTTTTCTCCACCAGAGCAACCAGACTATGCGAGAGTAGTGAATACGAACGAGAGTGAGTTTTCGTTTTACTAAAGGCCTAGGTAGTTAGGATAAAACAGAGTGTAATTGTAATTAGATAAAAAATTACTGTCTAGTATGCTTAGTAGTTAAGTGAGAAGCCGCTGCAAAGAATAGAACCCGTAGGATATGCGGACCTGCAAGATGTTTCACGAATTTTTGTAAGGTCCATGGGTTAGAATCTTGACGAGAAGCTGAGTAGGTTCGTAGATGCTAGAATTCAAAAAAATCAGATCCGTACAGTCTTTATTGTTTTT